CACTGATACTGTTTTTCCAGTCTAGGATTCAGTTCAGGCCCCTACAGTGCATTTAGCTGCCAGTCTCCTGCAGTGTAGGGCAGTTCCTCAGTCTTTCCTTGCATTTCCAGACCATGGTGATTTTGAAGAGTGCTGGGCAGTTATTTGTAGCATATCTTTAGCTGCACTGGGTTTATGCATACATTTGATGTTGTGATAAGAGGATTTTCCTCTGTGTTACAATGATAAACTGTCTTTTCAAAACCTTCACTATGCCATTGCTGATTATTGGGCCGTTTTTGAAAGAAAGAGGCTGATGTGCTGTTGGTTGGCCTTTGTTTGGAATCATAGCTTTTCCTGGCCAGAAGGACCTCGATGGTCACCTGGTGGTTCACCACCCTGGCCTCACAGATGGCAGCGTTGTAGTCTGCATGTCTTGGCTCATTGCCCTTTGTTCTTTCTATTTCATCATCCTATTGAAAGACCAATGAACAGCCATTCAAAATACTTTTCAACTTAATTATGTTTTGTCCTTGATCTCGTCTTGGTATAAAATCAACTTTGCTTTTCTTCTGTGATAGACTATGATGTGTGGAGCTCATAAAAGGAATTTGGCATAGCTCGTGGTGATGTTTTTCTGCTGCTAAACACCAAATCTCTTTTCAGCAGCCCCATCTCTTTGCATGTACATGTTTGGCAGCAGCCTAGATAACAGATTCCCTTAATGCTTATAACACGGGGATGTTAATATACCAGACTGACGGTAGGTCTTCTTTGCCTTCTTTGCAGGACTCTTCAGACACATCTGTCACTCACCTGCTTCCTTGTACTCTCTCGGGTAACCTCATTTGAAAATTGGTAGACAGTGACTCCTTTGGATGTCATTGACTGTTTCTGAGAGGGGGAGAAAATGTTATAAAAAACAGGCATTGGCTTCTGAGCTTTTTGGAAAGTTGATATTTTAATAACTCTTTTAAGAGTAGGCTTTCTGAAAGCTTATGGGTTTTTTTTTTCTCTCAGCACATATGAATGCTAAATGTTATATCTTCATGAAGCTTCTCCCACAAACATATTGAATATGATTTCTGTAATTAGATGGACTCAGTTTCTTGGACTCTTACTTTTTATATGTGTGTGTTTGCTTTAATGCTTATTCCCCCCACCCAATATTATGGAGTTCTTGGCTTATCTTTTAATATGTAAAAAATAAAGCAAGCAGATACAACAGCTTTAGGAGAGTCTACATTTTACCCTTGTTAGACTGTAACATACATATGATATATACAGTGGTATTTGCAGTAGCTTCATGTCTTGGGGAAAGGAAAATGAGTTACTTTACATATTCTTTGAAGAAAGTAAAAATTATAAGGATATGCAAAATGAAGTCAAATATACCTTTAAAAATCCCTTAAATCATCCATAAAGTAGTATAGCATACATGGCATATGTATGCAGCCTGTGGCATCATTCTCATGCACACTGCAGTTTGTGATCACCTGAGTCAGGATCAAGAAAGACAAGGACTTTTGGCAGATATCTGGGTCTTCAGATCACATTGCTTTCATGAGAGTCTCTAGTATGAAATGGTGATTGAAGAATCCCAGTGTGACCCTGCTTGTCTGCAGGCTTTATACTATTATATTTATAGCATTAATACTTGATAGATTTTCATGCTTTGAGAAGGGCTGAATGAAATCATGTGCATGGCGGCTTCTCTAGGATAGCACCTTGCATGAACACAGTAGCTGCTTGGTAAGTCTTTGATGGGTGTGATCCTGATTTAGCTTGATCAATTCTGCAATCATACTGGATTGTGTTTGAAAAGGTGTCCAGAAAAACCTGGCCACTTGCCTCCTGTCTCCTTCCCAGGTAAGTGTTTCTGGTGTTGACCTCTGAGAAACCTTCCCTCTTTCAACTCTTTCTCGTGGGAGTTTTGGTAAATTTTCATGAATTAAAACATGAATATTCAAGTTACCACGAGATGGCGTCAGATCATTTCAAGTAACGCCAGGTAGGGGGCGCCTCAGTTCAGTAAATCTTTAAAGAGGTTGAAATACGTGCCTTTCATAATAGGGCAGTTAGCTATTGCAAATAAACCCCTACTTTCTTCTACAATTCTTCTATGGAAACTTGAGGCTCATGACTCTTCAACTCCAAAAATTATGTAAGTGTGAAGTATTTGAGTTTATAATGTTTAAGAATTTCTCTGATAACTTAGTGAAGTAATCAGAACTTGAAAAATTTGATCACCATGTCTCAAATGTGATTACATTTTCAATGTCCTTTATAGTTTAGTTGAGTCATCTTCCTACAACTTATGGTGAATGTATAATATTCAGTCAATATATATTTATGGGTATGTAATGAACAAGCTAGAACTGTAGTAAACGAGATAAGCCCATTTTACTTTAGTGAACATGTTACAATTTACACACATATAATCACAATTCAGAGGACCTGTGTGAGTCTCAAATATCTCCCTTACTTTAGGGGTACTATGTAAGCGAAAGTCTCCTTTGCTGAGGAGCAGAGTATCTAAACCTGACCCTCTGTTACGGGCATGTAACTTGGAAGGGCTGAACTTCAAGAAACAATCATTGTAGTTCCAAGCATTTTTTTTTTTTATTTGAGACAGAGTCTCACTCTGTCACCCAGGCTGGAGTGTAGTGGCATGATCTCGGCTCACTGCAACCTCTGCCTCCCAGGTTCAAGCAATTCTCCTGCCTCAGCCTCCTGAGTATCTGGGACCACAGGTGTGCACCACCACATCTGGCTAATTTTTGTATTTTTAGTAGAGACAGGGTTTCACTATTTTGGGCAGGCTGGTCTCAAACTCCTAACCTCAAGTGATCCACCCGCCTCAGCCTCCCAAAGTGCTGGGATTACAGGCATCAGCCTCCATGCCCAGCCAAGCATTTTTTTTTCCCTAGGGCTAAAATGAATGAATGAATGAATATATAAATAAATAGATTTTTTTTTTTTTTGTGATGGAGTCTCGCTCTGTGGCCCAGGCTGGAGTGCCATGGCACAATCTTGGCTCACTGCAAGCTCCACCTCCTGGGTTCAGGCCATTCTCCTGCCTCAGCCTCCTGAGTAGCTAGGACTACAGGTGCCTGCCACTGTGCCCGGCTAATTTTTGGTATTTTTTAGTAGAGACGGGGTTTCACCGTGTTAGCCAGGATGGTCTCGATCTCCTGATCTCATGATCTGCCAGCCTCGGCCTCCCAAAGGGCTGGGATTACAGGCGTGAGCCACTGCGCCCGGCCATAAATAGATTTTTAAAAACTAAGTTTTTCATCAGTTATCAAGATTGCAGTTTCCAGGATGGAAGTGTGAATAACAGAGTTTACCAACATGGAACATGAAGAGATATTGAGGTTGCCGAAAGCTGAGCCACTGCTCTCTTAATAGATTGGTTTCTGACTGAAGGCAGGCTCATTTTCCAAATTGATCCCTGAGGTCATTGAGGTTTATATTCCAAATTGTTTATTCAGAAAATATTGACTGAGTGCTTTCTATGTGCCAGGCATTACGTTGGCTGGTAGAGATATAGGAGTAACTGAAATAGACAGTATTCCTGCCCTCAGAGAGCCTGTGTTCTAATCTACTGTCTTTTTGGGTCATAGATATCTTTAAGAATGTGTTAAAATGTGAACTCCTTTCCCTGAAAAATACGTTAATAAATCAATATCTCTCTCTCACACACACACACACACACACACACACACACACACACCCCTGCTGTGGGTGGAGACCCACAGTCAGAGTTTTGTGTTTCACTTCCTAGGGTTCAGAAAACTTAAAGCTCAAGTTTGCAAAGTGAGGGGACTTTCTTTTTTTTCCCATCAGGCTGCCTGCTGCTCTTGCCTTCTGCTCAACACTTTGTGATGTCATGGATAAGACTTCTTGCTAATTTTCTTTTCAGATTTGATCACATGATACATCGGTAAACCTCAGGGAAAAGAGTCCAAGGGGGCTTAGTAGGCTCGGGTCAGCAGCTACCTTGTCCTGTGGCTTCTAGGAGGTCACTTCTGCTCCCAGTGTCTCTCTTTTCACATCTGAGTAATGGAAAGGATTGTGTTAGGTGAACTTTTAGGCGATTTAGTGGTAGGTTTGGTGGGCAGGCTTTGTAGGCTGGCAGAAAGTATCAGGGGGTAAATTATGTTACCCCCAGATATACTATTCATTAGCTGGACAATTTGAACAAATTATTTAATTTATCTAAGCCTTATTTTTCATATATGAAGTGGAAAAAGTAACACCTTATAGAATGGTTTTGTGAATTAACTGAGCTAATGTATCTAAAGTATGTAAATTGCCTAAGACAAAAGCAGTGGCTATTATCAACCTTGTCACAGCCAAATTGCTTTTCAGGGGAATTAAATCAGCATGTTAAATATTTATTGAGCTTTTACTATGTGCCTAGCAAAGCATACTTCTATGATTATCCTACTGTGATGCTAACCCAGCCACCAGACAATGATATTAGACCATAGTGAAGAGGTCCACTCTATATTAAACAGGCCTGGTTTAATTCCCTGGCTCCACCAGGAGCCAGCTGGGTGACCCTAAACAATCCAGTCTTCATTCAGTTTCCATGTCTGAAAGATGGGGATGATGATATCACATAAATCAGTTATAACAGAGAGGCTGTTGGATTTAGACAAGATTGTACAAGGAAAGCATTTAGTACAGTGCCTAACTCAAAGAACACCCTTGATTTATGTTAGGCTGGTTCAATATTAATACTATTATTATTTACTGATTAGCTTAACCACATCCCCCTCAGGGCTAGGTTGGATCTAAAGAAGGTTTTCCCCAGATTTCGTGTAAGTCGAGATGATGATAGCATCTCACTTATCTAGGGCCAAGTTATAAAATTAGGATCCATAATTCAAAACTGGGCTTTGTTTAGAAGTTTCTTGGAAAATATTTACTAGTCCTGCAAACAGCTGTGGTTACTACTAAATAATTCACCTTGGTAGATTAATGGTAATTCTTTTTTATGTGTTTTTGTTTAGTACCCCAACCCCATGGATAAAAATGTCCTCTCTGTAAAAATCACGGAGGAAAAAAGAGGTAAGTTCTCTGTACAGTTTTTTTCAGTAATGATCGTTAAATGATAGTGATTTTTGTAAAGATGTGTGTATGTGTGTGTGTGGCCTATTAGGTTTTTAAAAAAATTGTTCACCTACAGTCCCTTTCCATTATTAGTTGTTAAACAGGTATATTTCTGTACTTGAGGTGACTTAGAAAGGTGTGGCAGATAGAGCACCAGGATTTACGATAGTAAAAGGCCTGCTGATGCTTTTTGTCACTTTCTAACTAATAATTGATGACAACATTGAGCTATATATAATTGTAACCGCTAACATTTTTGAGCCCTTAATATGTGCCAGGTACTCTTACTTTTATTAATTCATTTAATCTTCAGAACAATGTGTGGGATAGGTATTAGACTGCTCATTTAATGCACGGAGAAACTGAGATACAGAGAAGTTAAGTGACTTGCTCACGGTCACATGGCTGTAGCCTATTATATCATTTTGTAGATAGCAAAATGCATATGATTAAATATGAGATGTGACCATAAAGTGATTGCTTATGGAATCCCAACTACTTGGCAATGTGGTTTAGCATTGACTAAATCAGGAGTTGACAAGCTATGGCTCGCGCTGTCTGTTTTAGTAAATAAAGTTTGATTGGAACATACTCACATTTGTTTACATGTCATCTATGGCTGCTTCCTCACTATAATAGCAGAGTTGAGCAGTTGCCACAGAGACTTTATTGCCCACAAAACTTAAATTATTTAACATCTGATTCTTTACAGAAAATGTTTACTGATTCCTGGTCTAGAGCATAGGAAGCTCTTCTCTTCTGTGTTATCCCTATCTCCACAAAAACCATTATCAGTGTCAGTGTTTAAACCTGAGAACTGGGCAAAGCAGGAAGCTGTGACGATGCACATAGTCAATGTACAAAGCTTTGGAGACACTGGGGCCTAGGTCCAGCATGCCCTTTAGCCTTCTTAGGAATCATGAGATGCTACTGTTTGTTGTGTGACTCTGGAGCCCTCTCTGTGCTTGGCAAACATAACTGCCTTTTGCTTGTATATGCATTTTCTGTACTTCTATAACCATATAGATGTATTAAAAATATTTTCTCATGTACCTGCAGTGTGGGAAAAACTTGTTATTTGTCATCAGACAAACTGGATTTCAAATCTTGGTTTCATTACTACCTTGGTGACCTTTTTGGAGCCTCAGTTTCTTCATCTGTCAAATGGGAAAATAATCTTGTTTTTAGGTTGTTACGAAGATCAAATGAGAGAACACTGTGCATATTCTAAATTGAAATGTTAATTATAATTTCTATCATTGTCAGGGGCATCTTTGCCATTGGGAGTGGCTAATCCATTTCGAGTATTTGTGAAGCAAGCACTAGATGAGATGGCCAAAGGGAGGGCCAGTGGGCAGAGGGGTTGGCACCCTATCAACAGCTTCTGGGCAGTCAGGGTTTTTGCATGAAGGGTTGGGACTACTATAGCCAGAGCTTTGAGAAAACCTGTAATAGAGTGGCTAAGTCACAGTGATTCACAAAGCAGAAGACTGCACTTCAGAGTTTATTCTTTTCTCTGCCTCTGCCTTTCTTTTTCTTAACATTGTTTTTTACATCCCTGGTTTAATTCTGGAAACTTCATCGCAGACCAAAATGGTTGCAGTCCTAGTGTTACAGTAGGTAGCTAGTCAAGTATGAGCAGGATAGAAGAGGGCTTACACACACACACACACAGAGAAGAGGGCTTACACACACATACACAAGAGAGCTTACACACACATAGAAGAGGACTTACACATACACACACAGAAGAGAGCTTACACACACACACACACGCACCCACCCAGGAGTGTTGGGTGACCATCAGGTGATGGTCAGGCAGTTGTTAACTGTCTCACTAAAGTAATAATTGGTCACAGTTGGCATCAGGCAAAGGCACGCTCCTAATAGATAGAAAACACCTGAAACTGATGATCAGCAGCTTCCTGATAAGATCTCAGGATTTGGGAGAAGTGATGTAAGACCCCGGACGTATGCCAACGCGTAAAACCCCAAGTCAAAAGGTCAGACCACACACTTGCCTTTCAGGTTGCCCGCTTGGCTGTCTTCCAAGTGTCCTTTCCTTCCTTTCATTCCCATTCTAAAGGAACCAGAATAGCTTTTTCCTGTTTAGGAAGGTTTATAAAAAGAATAGGAATAGCCATTTCCTATTCTTTTTAATAAACGTTCACTCCTGCTCTAAAACTTGTCTTGGTCCCTCCTTCTGCCTGATGCCCCTCAGTCGAATTCCTTCTTCTGAGGAGGCCAGAATTGAGGTTGCTGCAGACGCGTACAAATTTGCTGCCGGTAACAACAGGAAGTCTACTCCCTTATGAGAGATAAATGTGGCTGGTAAAATGAGTTATAGGTTTAAATTTTGTAGCCAGGTATCTGTGCTTGAAAGTTAGGTACAGAAAGTAGCAGCATCAGGTTCTCCCCCTTTTTGTTGAAACATTCTCTTTGGAGTTGAGCAGGAGTCCCACTGGTCATCGTCATTGGGGCACTGACACGGATAGTCCAGAGCAGTGAATGGTTGTGATTATTTCATCCTTGACACTGGAATGTGCGTTCTGAGTTACTGTTGTACCCTTATTCCTTCATCACAGATAAGGAATATCTGATTTGGCCCAGGAAAGTGTCAGGGAAACTGAATTTTGAATTAAACATTTTCTGTAGGAATTCTGCAAATAGAAAATTGAGATTGACTTTAAAAGATTTATTGCGGGAGGCTGAGGCAGGAGAATCGCTTGAACCCTGGAGGTGGAAGTTGCAGTGAGCCGAGACCATGCCATTGCACTCCAGCCTGGGTGTCTCAAAAAAGAAAAAACCAAAAAACAAAAAACAACAAAAAACCCCCCAAGATTTATTGACACTAAGAAAAGAACACATTTCCTTAATTTTTTGTGTATAAAAATTTTTCTTTTTTAGATGAATCAACAGGGGTCATCTACAGAAAGAGGATTGCAATCTGTCAGAATGTGGTTCCAGAAATTTTAAGGAAGGTAAGTTCATTTTAAAGTTTAATCACAGTTGTTGTAACATTGAGTTTTTTAAATAGTCATGAAAAGGAACAGCATTTTCTGATGTAAAGGAGCATTAGAAACTTCCTCCTCCTTTTACTTCACAGCCTTCTGAGGAAGAAAGCTCTTTCTTATCCAACCTCAGTTTTAGCAGATGCCACTGGAGATACTTTGTCTCTCTGTCTTGTGAAGGACTCTTAATGGACATAGAGATGTTGTGCAATTACTTTAAAGATACTTTTGGCATTTTGCATGAAGTGACTAGTCTTTTCATGATTAGAAATGACTCTTAGGTGAGAATGATCAGAAATGGGAAGATTGTAAATATTTAGTCTCATCTTTAATAAGAAAGAGAAAAACTTCAGTTTCTAATTCACTATCAGAGATAACAGCTATTTACCAGAGAATAATGTTCTCCACGCCCTCTGTTAAGTCTTTATGTGTATTTCTCTAAAGTAATATCATTGATGATGAAATCTTCATGATAGCAAATGTTTTCTCTCTTTGAAGAAGAGCACTCTGGTGATTCTTTGTTGGAAAAAGGTGAGTGGAAATTTTTAATCACATTGCTTGAACTATAGAGGGATTTTCAGTGGGAGTCCTTTTAGAGCTATGAGGAAGTCAGAGGAAAGCATCTGGATATGCCCTTTGAAACAGGTCTCAGAGGGTAGTTTCAACCTGAGAGAGATTCTGTGTGTGATGTTGTGTTAGTCCATTCTCAGGCTGCTAATAAAGACATACCTGAGACTGGGTAATTTAATAAAAGAGTTTTAATGGATTCACAGTTCCACATGGCTGGGGAGGCCTCACAATCATGGTGGAAGGTGAAGGAGGAGCCAAGGCACATCTTACGTGGCAGCAGGCAAGAGAGTGTGTGCATGGGAACTGCCCTTTATAAAACCATCAGATCTCGTGAGACTTATTCACTGTCATGAGAACAGCACGGGAAAACCCGCCCCCATGATTCAGTTACCTCCCACTGAGTCTCTCCCATGACATGTGGGGATTATGGGAGCTACAATTCAAGATGAGATTTGGGAAGGGACACAGCCAAACCATATCAAATGTGGAACCCAGCTTGGATCCTGCCGACTAGCTTGCAAATTAAATTGCTGTGTTGTAGGTGGAACAAATGGCAGCTTCCATCACTTCCTTATCATGAATTAAAAGACTGTCACATTCTTCAGTGTAATAAAGCTGATATGACAATGAAAATTAACTTTCTTTTTTCCAGATGGTAAAACTTGTTGCACTGTAGCAGCAAATTATTACTGGCTTTTTCCAGAGTGTGTACCCTGCCTTTGCCCTGTATACTCACTCTGAATCTATTATTTAAAAAGACATTCAACTTTGTCTTGTATCTCAATTCTTAAATAATTTAAGGACACCTCTGACTTGTACAATTCTGCCTTTGTAGTTTTCCATGTCTTCACCTAGGAAACCATACATTTCTACGTATTGGACAGAGTTTAAAATGAAGAAAATATTTTACCTGATATTGTTCTGCATGTAAGCCTGTAAGTGGGCTCGATTAGAATCCATCAATTTAAGAAGGCCATAACCAGCCTTAGAGGAGATGCGAAGGAGGCTGATAATTTGCTTAGTGTTTAGCAGTTAGGGAAATTAGGCCAGGGACTGTATAGCCTACATAAATCCTGGGTCATTTGCATGTCCTCACCAGCACTTAGTAAGGTCATAGTATGTTTGATTATCAAAAACGTACAGCCACTGGTGAGCCATCATCCATATATCAGGATTACTTGTCCTCTTGGTTATCCAAGACTGAGAGTAACTCTGGATGTGGTCATTATGTAGCCTGCTCTTCCTAAATTGAGAAAGCCATTCTCTTTCTGTTGGGCAGGTGAGCATTTTGAAAGTACCTAATATCCAATTAGAAGAGGAGTCATGGCTCAATCCTCGGGAAAGAAACATGGCTATACGGAGTCACTGCCTTACGTGGACACAATACGCATCCATGAAGGAAGAGTCTGTCTTCCGGGAAAGTATGGAAAACCCAAATTGGTAAGACTCGTGTGTGTGTGTGTGTGTGTGTGTGTGTGTGTGTGTGTTTTGGATGCAGGGATGGACACATGAGTACATACATTCAAAATCTGTGGTTCTATACTTATGACCTTTGTTTATAACTCATATGAATTCCACATTATTAATTTTTTAATCACAGTAATTAATGAATTTTTTGGAGGGGGATCAGGAAATGATAGAGTTCAACTCCCATCTGACCATCCCTCCCAATCCTGGTGTCTTTTTCACCATCTCGAGAAGTAGTGTGTGTTATCAGTTTGCTGAATATTCTTCCGGACCTTAAAGAGATACCTTTAGATACTTACATATATACTCATAGAGTCTGTATAGTGTGATTTTGTATACATTTTTAAACATATATTATAAATTATTTTGTAAATTGTGAGTTTGTAAATTGTGTACTTTTTTTTTACTTAATGGAATGTTTCTGAGCTTAAACCATGTGATATATAAATATATATATAAACAAATATATATAAATATATACATAAATATATATATAGCTTATTCCTTTATTGCATATAATTCAATCCTGTGACTGTATGACATTTTATATAGCTACTACTTTTTTGATAGACAGATGGTATCTAAGTTCTTTTTTTTACAAACAATACTATAATATTTGTGAAGCGTATGTTCCTTGTATGTGATCCTTTATGTTATGTATGAGTTGTTTATCTAAAGTAGATTTTTTTTTTTTAAATGCAGTCACGCTCTGTCACCTAGGCGGGAGTGCAGTGGCATGATCATGGCTCATTGCAACCTCAACCTCCTGGGCTCAAGTGATCCTCCCACCTCAGTCTCCTGAGAAGCAGGGACTACAGGCATGTGTCACCATGCCTAGTTAATTAAACAAATTTGTTTTGTAGACATGGGGTCTCACTCTGTTGCCCAGGCTGGTCTCAAACTCCTGGACTCAAGTGATTCTCCTACATCAGCTTCCTAAAGTGCTAGGATTCCAGGCGTGATCCACTGTGCCTGGCCTAAAGTAGAATTTTTAAATATCAGGTTTATTGAGATATTATATGCATACAATAAAACTTACTTTTCTTAGTGTATAGTTCTTTAAGTTTTGACAACATATAGTTGTGCCACCACTGCCACAATTAAACTATAGAACATTTTAGATAGGTTTAAAACCGTTAATATTATAAGACCAATCAATGGGGAAAGAATATTTCTTTCAACAAATGGTGCTGGGATAACTGGATATCCACATATGAAAGAATGAAGTTAGATTCCCTACCTCGTGTGGAATACAAAACTAATGCAAAATAGATCAAATACCTAAATGAAAGAGTTAAAACTATAAGACACTTAGAAGAAAACATAGGTATAAATCTTTGTGATCTTGGGTTAGGTAGTAATTTATTAGATATGATAGCAAAAATTTAAGCAGCAAGATTAAAAATAGATAAAATTGACTTCATCAATTAGAAACTTTTGTGTTTCAAGGGACACTGTCAAGAAGGTGAAAAACAGGCTTGGCGCGGTGGCTCATGCCTGTAATCTTAGCGCTTTGGGAGGCCAAGGCAGCCCGATCACTTGAGGCCAGGAGTTCGAGACCAGCCTAGTCACATGACAAAATCCCATCTCTACTAAAAATACAATTAGCTGAGTGTGGTGGCGCACACCTATGATCTCAGCTACATGGGTGGCTGAGGCACAAGAATAACTTGAACCCAGGAGACGAAGGTTTCAGTGAGCCAGGATCACACCACTGCACTCTAACCTGGGCAACAGAGTGAGACTCTGTCTTAAAAAAAAAAAAAAAAAAAGACACACAATAACAAGTGTTGGTTGTGGATATGTGGAGAAATTAGAACTCTTACATGTTTCTTATGGGAATATAAAATGGTGCAGCTGCTTTGGAGAACAGTTTTTCAGATCTTCAAAAAGTTAAACATAGAATTACCATTTGACCCAGCAATTTCACGCCTAGGTACTTCAAGAGAAATGAGAAAATATATGTCCACACAGAATCTTGTACAAAACTTTCATAGCAGTATTATAATAGCCAGAATGTAGAAACAAGCCAATGTCCATCAACTGATAAATATATAGCCCAATGTAATATATTCACAAAATGGAATATTATTTAGCCATAAAAAGGAATGGAGTGCTGATTCATGGTTAAACATGGACAAATTTTGAAAATACGCAAAATGAAAGAAGGCAGTTACAAAAGGCCACATATTATATGGGTCCATTTATTTGAAAAGTCCAGAATGTGTAAATCCATAATGACAGAATGTAGATTATTGGTTGCCATGGGTTAGGGAGAAAGGAGAGTGATGAGTGGCTGCCAGTGGGTATGGAGTTTCTGTTTTGGGGTGATGAAAATGTCCTGGAATTAGTGTTGATGATTGCAGAACTCTACGAATATACTAAACCTCACTGAATTGTGTACCTTAAAAGGATGAATTTTATGGTAAGTGAATTATATCTCAATACAGAAAACTATATAGCTGATTCTCAGAACATGCATACTTTTATTAGTTTATGTAGTGTTTTAGTTTGGGCTGCTATAACAAGAATACCATGAACTGGGTGGCTTACACAGTAAACGTTAATTTCTCACAGGCCTGGAGGCTGGTAAATCCACCGTCTAAGCACTGGCCTTTCCAGTGTCTGGTGAAGGCCATATTTTTGGTTTGCAGATGCTGCCTCCTCATCATTGCCTCACATGGTGGATAAAGTGAGTTCTAGTCTTGGTTTCTTTTTATAAGGACATCAGTCCCATCATGCAGTCTCTAACTCATGACCTCATGAAAACCTAACTACCTCCCAAAGACTCAGTCTCCTAGTACCATCCCATTGTAGGTTAAAGTTTCAACACATGAATTGGGGGTGGCGGGGGAGGGTACCGACATGCAGTCATAACATACAGATTCTGCCACATTGCCTTCCAATGTGTTAATATGCACATTTTACACTGATCAACAACACATGAGAGGGCTCATTCCCTTACAACATTGTCAGCACTTATTCACATGCTTTTTAACTTTTGCCAGTATAATGGGTGAAAGATGATTAATTTTTTTGAGACATGTTTAAAAATAAGCAAAATATAAGCACTAAATGTTAACAGTGATTTTTGCTGTGAACGGTTGTTGCTGTGAACTGGATAATTATCTGTGTTTTTTGTTATTGTTCTATGTGGTTTGAATTTTTTATTATATACTTATCATTTTATGGAAACAGTAAAGCCCTCAAGCCCAAACAACTATAAACCAAAAATCTAAAATCCATTCTTAAGCCCAAACACTTGTCCAAATCATTACTGCTCTCCATAACTTTGGTCCTGTAGTGATAATTCTAGGATGCTGCAGCAGCCCGCTGAGTGGGTGTGAAAGCCATGTCTTATTAGCATCAGAGGTGGGCTTGCTCTGAACCACCCACTATTTTTTCTGTCTTAGTCTCTCTCATGACAAGAGTTTCACATAGGGCATAGATGTTTGGGATTAAGTGTGAAGGCTGTGGCCAGAAAATAGAGCTTCTTTCTTTGTATGAAGAAATAGCAAAAGGATGGAATTGGCTGATTTTGTGCAAAAAAATCATTTCATCTACTTTGTTTTAGCCTTAATTTTTGTGCATATTTGAGCTATTAGCTAGTCTTAAAAGGTGAACTAAACCTTCATCTGTGATATGTAAAATGACAATTAACTCTGAAAGGGAGGATATCCTTTAAGAACAATTTTTCTTTGTGTGTTTTTCAAAAAGTATTTTAAAATAGTCACTCTGATTCTAGAAACAATAATGCATGTGTCTTGTAAAAATATTAACGAATTCTGAGAAAAAAAGGAAATATTATCATACCTGGAGATACTGTCTGTTTACATGATTTTCTTGGTCCATTCCTAATTGATACTTAGATTGGTTTTGCTTTTACAAACAGTGTTGTGATGAAAATCTCTATGATTACATATTTTCCCACTTATTCAATTACCATTTAAGGTAGATTGAGCAAAGTGAGATTTCTTGGTCAAAGGTTATATGCATTTTATATTTTGGAACATATGACCAGACTCCTGTATAAGAAGGTTTGACCAGTTATATGTTTTTTTTTTTTTTAAATTTCTTTGGTTTGTTATGTTCCAGTCCTCTCCAAAACACTACCTTTTCTATCATTGACACAGAGGGCTAACACTTATTGATGCCTACTATGTCAAAGTCAAAGCTATATCCTTCATGTGCATTCTTTTGAGGCTTAGGTTAAATAACTTTCCCAGGGTGATACAGTCAGTAGATTGCTAAACCAAGATACAAATGCAGGTATCGTAGACTCCACCTTGAGCACGGTGGTGAGGCAGGAATATGAACATTTGCAAAGGATGGGTTTATCTTGTTCTGTAGAGTGCTTTGGATCCCAGGTATGAAGGATGGGTTTTGTCCCTTCAGCAACAAGCAGTCACACAAAGGTTTCTGAGTAGGGGCTGATATGCTGAAAACTGGGATCCACATTCTAGAGAACTTATGTTTCCTTAGCTCTTGACATGCATTTAGAAAGGCATTTAGGCAGACATTCTAAATAAATAGGTAATGGCATGGGATGGGGGCATCCAAGAAAGATTCATTATTACTTTAATTTCTTCCCTTTGCTAAGGAAATATGAGAGTAATGGCTAGCTACTGCACCCAGAATAGGGACAATTGTTTTTTAAAGGGAATAAAAAAGCTGTCAGGGCTACTAAGTGTAAAATTAGACTTTCAAGCTGTGTGTTGGTTAGCAGGTGTGGGTGTGTGACTAGAAACCAGATGTCACTCTGTCCCTGTGCATGGCCTGTTGGCTCAATTCAGAGATGGGCTCAAAACAAGTTGCCTTTAGAAACTAAGCCTTGCTCTATGTCCTCTTTACATAGTTCTGATTTTGGCTTCCCACTGACATCTCTACAGTTGTGGCACCTTCTTGGGTGAGAGAACTACATTGGACTTTCCCCCATCTGTACTGTCACACAACAGGATAGCTCTAATATGCTT